TAATTGGCCATGGGAACAAGCGGTAACTTAATTGGTGATGTACGTTCGCTTGTTTCAAACATCGGCGTAAAGCCAATAACTTACTATACTTTAAAATTGGCTTAAATTATTAGAGTAAGTATCTGAATTTTCGGTTATCCTCTTTCTGATGTTATATTCATTCAATAAGTTCATTCTCCGAAACACAAAACTAACCACGGACCCTATTACCACCAGTTAATCATTTTTGTCTTAAGTTCTTGAGGCGAAATAGAGAACTGTAGTACCCAGCATAAGTGTGACGATTCTAGAAGTACATTTGTCCGAAAATTGACTAAAGTATACGCATAAAAATAATGAGAACACCGAGAAACATAAGGCAATCCGAAGTTGAGTCATATAACTAAAAGGTTACGATTACTAGAAACTTTTCGTGTTTTGTTGCTGTACTGAAAAAGCTCGGGATTCTCTTCATAATTTGCTTCAGTGAACGTCTGATAACTAGTGGGACGTCGTTTCTACGAACTATAGCCTCATACTTTTTTAGCTGGCTATTTTGTCTTCATTTAATCTGCTCTCTGTCAAAGTCACAGTTGACTAGGATCTCAGAGGAAAACCACAGCTCGTGAAACGGCTGTACTGCGCAGCTTACTTCGCTCTATTAACAATTTTTGTCGTTGTATTGCACCTGTCTGCAGGACTACTGATGTACCCGGCAAATTCGAAACGGCACTGCTGGGGCCGGTTCCGAGCGTTTGCTTGCCCCTAATAATTTGGCCATCGTCACGCCTCAGAGATTCTTCACTTTACAGTTCCCACACATTCCTTTTGCTGTTCAACCTAGTTACAAATACGGGTTAAGTAAAGTGTAACCAGAATACGGCTAGCTTACCTCTGACGAATAAAGATTCGTCCTGGAACAAGGCACTTTGTGTCAATATGGCGGAAAGTATCTAGGTTTTAGTTTTATTTCTTCAGTCAATTAGGATTGGCGATTAGGGTCGAACATTTCATGCAGCATAGGTGAAACTCAAAGGTCAACAAAAACAGATCGTTTTGCTCTGAGTAGGCAATGTGACATACCCTCCGAGCACCTGAAACAGCTAAAATGTCACTAACAAAAAAACGATACGATTTTTATCATAGCATAGCGTATGAATCTACTTTTACCAGCTTTACCAGTTCGATAGCTAAAAAAGTAAATTCATTGACCCAGTTCTCCAGTAAGACGCTGCAAATCATCTCACGCAGTCCGTTTCGGGCTCTCGTGATGGAAGAGGTCACCCATCTCGTATTAACGTAAGTAGCTTAAGAAGTTGATCTAAAATGTATCGCATTGGGGTAGGCCGTCAAAGCGGGCGTCGAAAGAAACCAAAAGCGAAGGCTTAGGATCCTGCCAGCAATGCACAAATATTAAACAATTTGTGCCTACGGAAAAGTTCATTCTTCATCCCTAAAATGATAAGTATAAATAATAATGAAAAGGAATATTATTTACGGTGGCTGTCACCTTTGACTTCAGCTAGACTTCTGCTTTGAGCCATAATGTTTATGCATCAAGATACGCATCGTCCTAGTTTACCATTGGCGCTCTTTAATTTTTCTAACCAAAGAAATCAAGCACGATATATATATTTGGGAGGTCAACTGATTCATGAAACGTGTTGTTTGCTTATGTATATAAACACCTGTTTATGTTATTTGATTTCACCATGGCTGGAAGGCTGTGCTAGGCCGTAGCTCATTTTTTTTTATATACATTTATTCGTTCGTCAGCTATTTCGGTCTAACTGTTTAAGAAACATAACCACGAGGAGATTGGAAAAATGTGCCATTGTTAAAAACAAGCCAGTCACATTACCGGTAGTAAAATTTTAAGAAGTCATCTCGTGCACCTGTGCCCCTTAACGCGAGCAGATTTGTGCTAGACAAGCCACAATTAACGACATCACGACTGGACAGACGTAGCGTAGAATTAGTGGGTGAACCTCTGATAAACTGCCGGATAATTTCTAGAGTGACCTGTATATTTGTGCATTTTTCTGCTATTTCGTTTACTTACTCACATAATCGAGCTTTTCAGATAGATACAGCCGGGCCCTAGTCCCAGCCAAAGTTAGAGACAAGCGACAAGATTTAAAAGTACAATTAGAATAGATATTATGTCAACGGAAGAGAAATGCGTGCGGGTAGTAGCAGTAAATTATTACATAGAATGTTTATATTTGGTTACAATTAAACGATGTGTTGTGAACAATCAATTTACCAACTTGCAAAATCAAGAGGAGTGTCTGAAGAAAACATCCTCTTTTTTTTTTATCTAGACGCCCAAAATTATTTATTTCATTTGCCATGAACCTTTTACCCCCGACTGACATCACAAAGACTGGTAAATATGCTTACGAAGAGGCATACTAAAAAAAAAAAATCATGAACGGGCACTCGACAGTGACTTGTTTTATAGTCCCTAGATTTGGAAACCTATCTAATTGACACTAAATGTCTCCCCCGCTTTCATTGTAGCGGTTTCTAAAAAAACAAATTTCGAATCGACAAATCCACAACAGTCTGAATCAACGCCTCTTCGAAACCATTGACGAAAAAAGGCAGTCCGCCGATTCGAAGTTTGTTTGTTTGTTTCAGCGTTTTACGTACGATTCCGTACGACCTGTACGGAATATGTGAGCCATAAACGACTTGAAATAACGAACGATTCTACTCTTGACAGGCAAAAGTGCACAGATTTATGATGTTTTTTTTTTCAAATATTATTTTATACGGTCGTTGTGCAATGTAGTATTGTGGTTTTTACCTTCATATTCGGGTATTTCAATTTTGTGAGGTACAAGCGGCCCACCCTCGACGATTTTTTCGTACCGCTTAGAAACTATATTTGCCCAAAGACCCTTTTAAAGAGATTTTAAGTACAGTTAGATCGTACGCTGTTCCTTGATTGAGATGTGTTGTTGTTGTTGTTAGGAATCTATTTAATACGTTCATGGAGGTAGCATGATACTTTAGCGCAATGTATCTGCGATCAGTCTCAATTGTTCTGGCACAGCAAATAACGAAAAATTGCCTTAAGTATATGACGGGATCTAACCAGCGAAGCATGCAACTCACGATGCATTGTGGTGGTTCTGGGGGGTATTTGCTCCTTTTAGTCCTAAAAATAAATAAACGGATGGAGGACCGTAATTTCTAAGTAAGCAATATATTTTTAGAGTAATAAGCATACATCCCATAAATCCAATAAATGGTTGCCCCACAAACAGAAACGTATGAGTGAATGCCTTTAGAAGCCACAGCATAGCACCGGTCTGATGGCAACATCTACTGCCGAGGATTATAGAAGTTTTTAAAATTACGCCCATATTTAAGCTACCTAAAGTGAATAGGGTGTATGCTTGCTTAAGCGATATAGTTCATTTGGTAATTATACAATTGGGCGGTGTGAATATCTCTCCTACTGAAGTCTACATAAACTGCTAGAAGCGTTGAACTTAGCTGGGCATTGGGTACAAAAAACCTGTCTCTCGAAATATGTCTCTTTAAATTCTGTCACCCCTAAATGATTTCGCATTTATCACACGAAGCTGGACCTTGGTACCTCGGTGTGGCTAAACGATGCTTTAAGGAACTGGAAGCCGCGAAAACAGTAAGGCCGGGATCTCATTTTAAGTCAGATTAATCCCAATGAACTGTTTATGATCACATCTTTGGCTAAACGTTTTCGAACAGATCGAACTTTTCTTTAGTCATAAGTGTGATATTGTTGCCTGTTGAATAGACAACTTTAAACGAAATTATCATAATAACATACAGAAATGTTTGATGCTATTCTACATTCGTGGTTAATTAGTGTTGCAGGTTAATCGAAGAAAGCAGGCTTTTATCAGATTCACTGTAACTTTGTGTAACTTAGCTGTCTAACACAGTACTAAAAACAATAAATATGGAAATAAAAAAAAAATGGAAATAAAACTCAAACGTGGAGAACTTCGGTTGTTGTTGCACATTCGTACAGCAGATCAGGAACACCCTGCACATAGGTCTTTTTCATTTCGAATACCGTAAAGGCATATGACCTCCAATTAAACAACCTAACAACCCCATGTTATTTTAACTAGCTCCAATGCGTTGCACAATTGTAAAATACAACTTTTCGATTAAAGGTCAGCAATAGCACATAAAAGGACTCGCAAGATATAGTTGCAAGCACTTTTTTTGATATATGAAGCTAGGACACCCGAGAAACCATCAGAAACATAAGGGCAACTTACACCATTAGTGCTCCGGCCCCTCAAAAATAAAATTCCACTAAAAAATGTATAACTAAGAATTATACTTTTTTTTTCTAACAGACAAGAACTTACACATAGTAAAGCAATTAAAATATACTGATCGAATTGATCATCTCTTGAGCGATGTTGTCTAAACATGTCACTTCATGTTTACGGGGCGTCTGCACATTTCGCCCTACATTTAATCCGACTTACTGACTAACTGGCATGTAAACAACGAGATTAACCGCGGTCAGGCCTTACAGCGCCACCTATCGAACAGATACGGCTAACGAAATTCGTCTCAGATCGTTGGTGACAATACGCTCGCTGGAAACCTATTGCACGTAACGTTGTAGAGCCAACTCTAGGCCTTCTATACGGTAACGTTAACGCCGGTGCCAGTTACCTAATATGCTCTATCGCTAACAATGTTAGTAAGGAAAAGGCTAACAGTTACAAGAAATGTACATACGTGCAACGTGGATAAATAATCAATATAGAGTAATAGAGTAATCAGCGATTAGTATTTTATTCGAACGTGTCCGTGATAAACGTTAGGATGTCAGAACGTAACGATAACCTTTTATTGCCTACGTTATAAATTGCCTCACAGCCGTATCATTCTTTCTAACAACAGTTCTGCAAGAAAGCCGACAGATGATTGCTACATGTCGACAATCCAATAACGTTAGTAGCATCCAGATTAATTAGCTATCTTGTGTCAAGAATGCTTACCAGAGATGTGGTTCAGTCTTTCTGAGCGAGCAGGCTAACGCCAAGTCACACCTACGAAAATGCCCCCTACGAGTTTCACTACGGAGCGGATAAAAGCCGTTCTTAGCTACGCACCATTTCTTGTGATGACGCTTCCTGTCCGTATTAAGTCGGACGGGCTTTCTCGTTCTACCTGTAAACAACCACATCATATTCGTCTATCATTTCAGTACTACGTGCCCGGCTCGAAACTGCATAGCTGTTATACAAAAATCTAGTTCTATTGTTGAAAGAGCGGGTCATCTCTAAAAATCCTCAAAGAAACACCGTTTATGTGACACGTGAAGACGCTAGGAGATTAAAGTTAACCAAGTCGGTTAGACCCAGTCACTTGTGTCCTCTAGCTATGTTGTAATATGAAAAAAGTTCATTCAATAATTACTTATTATAGGAACTTTACTGAAGGATAGCAAACAATGTCTACATATTAATAACACGCTGTTAGAGCAATCTACATCAAAAGCATTTCTAAAAAGCTATATAGATGCATTTGTTAAGCAAATTAAGTAATGATATGAGCAATTATAATTATGTATAGTGTACTAAACATTTATAATTGAGTACTTAGAATTCTTCCAAACAATATTCTTCCAGCTTTTCAGTACAATCTTCGACCCGCGCACGTTTATTCATCGTCTTTACCTTGTACTCACCTGTCGTCTGACTTCGAGCTCTCGGTTCAGTTAAGTGGGTAATTGACGAAAAGTTTTCTCAAGGCAATTTTCAGTCGTACCTAGCGTGGATATTCTCGCGAGTACTATTTGCGTATGTCTCTCTCGTACGTGTACGTGCTGCACAAGTTAAACTATGGTAAATTGACTTGAGTCCTACGGCTTATCTATCAGAAGTGAAACTTTCGCCTACATTGAAAACTGTCCAACGAAGCCTTTTATTGCTACTTTGCTTTTATAGACTCTAGCAGCGATGCAGTGTAGCATGCCGCAGGCTTTCGAATAATCCAAATCGAAAAGTTCGCCTTTGATAGGTGAGCTTTAAAGGTTTTCGGTGGCATTTGTGCTAGCAGACTGAATGTGGGAACATAATATCGTGAACGTAGCAAGCTATCCTTCGCAAAAGCATACGTGTAGCTGAATTGGACATGGTCTTAAATTCACAGCGACTGAGATGTTTGTCTGTGCAATTCATTCCAAGGCAAGTATATCTTTATCTTACCGTGTTTAAGATGATTTGGCCTATAGTAGCTACAAGCGAAGTGCCTGTGTATCTTCCAGATGGACGACGTCTAAGGATTTTTGATTGGACATCCTTTAATAAAAATGGCGCTGATGCTTGTCCAACAATCCTTCCCATGCTATAAGTACAGTAGCCGCCTGATTTTTAGGCTGAACATTGCGTGCTAGCAAATAAGCATTCATCGGTGTGACTCTGAATGCAGTTTTTACGGATCCATAAGTGACCTGCCTCATACGTTGCATCTATGCAGTCGCGGTAAACGATCCTGCAGCTTTTGAAGGAATCTAGCGACGCGAACATAGCAAAGCACATTCTCGCCTAACTTAACACTGATGAGCTTTCTCACGAATCCTCACACTATACGTTAAACGAACAGCTTCTTTTCGAAAAAAGTAACATGAAGAGCAAACATAAGAGTAACTTATCATGAGATCTGACACGCACTGTCGTCTGCGAACTGTCGTCTGCGAACTGTCGTCTGCGAACTGTCGTCTGCGAAGCAGATGACCATGTCATAATGTATTTGTTTATAAGGACTACTCGTATAATATAATATGTTTGGTATCATAATATTCGCCTGCATGTTTATATCCATCCGTTTCTATGTCTATGTCTAGAGCGAACACAATGACAAACAAATTGAAAATTTTCCTTGCATATTTATACCAATTCAATCGATTAAATGAGTCGAATCATGATTGATCGTTACACATTTCCAAAGCAAACCTTTTCTAATAGCGAGCCGTACCTCACGCGTGGCATGAGTGTAGTCTTCCGAATGCTAAAACGTGCAGATCATTTTTCTTACACGTGACTTAAGCACTTCCTTGCCTACTTGGTCCGCTCACGAAGAGGAATACGGGTCGCCAATGGACTCTCGGGATCGCATGTATATAAACATCACTCGCGCCAGCTTGACGGATCCTACTTGTTGCATTGTGTTCCACCGGTGGTAAACGCTACTCCATTTGTTTCCATTTTACGAAATGATTCTTGTCGTAAATGAGGCGGTATATGTACACAACGGTAAATACTAGTTATTTCCATTTTTTCATCTCGTTGGGTGGACCCGTGGCATTTTTTAGACGGATTCCGGATCCGTCGAGCGGGTCAATGCAGCGACAACGATGAAATGACCGCAGACCAAGTTGGGCAACGTTGTACGTCTACAACCGTTGCCCTCGGAAACATAGAAATGATGAGTAGTGCGTTATTATATCGGCACGGAATGAAATTAACTAAAGCAAGCGTAACAGATACTAAAGGAAGTACGTAATTATGTCTTGCACAAATCTCCCCTTTCTAGGATTTTTCAACAGAAATATGTATCATAAAACCGTGTTACAAATATTTTGAGTAATGTTTAATGATTACGTTAACTTTGTAAATGCATTGCGTTATTTACCATGGAGCTGAATTGTCGCAGTCAACGGGCAAATGGCTTACCGAAAGTCTTAAAAAAAGTAAATCGATCGTGGAAACATAACCTCGGAGTGCTTTGTACTGAAATGATTCTGTTTATGAATACGTAATCAAGTAATGATGTAAGTAACAACTTACTCTACGGCGTTATTATTACCTGTTACAGTGTGGGCAAAAAAATTTAATTACATAACAGTAAATAATAAGCCACTTCCTCTTGGTGCCCCGTTCATAGAGAGGAGCTGTATGTCTTTAATTTCGAATGCTTTTTTACCGGGTGGGACTTTGCTTCGGAAGGAAACCGCGTTTGAAACCAACCACTTAACTAGTTAAGAGGTCTAATGTAAACTTACAAATTAACTTTACTTAATTACATATGTTATGCTTTTGTATTTATGCGCTGTAGCTGACTGTATAATTTACGACGGCGGCCGAGCCCAACTTGAAGGGAACGCGGGAACCATTGTAATAAATTCGAATCCTTATTGATTGAAGTTTGAGCGGTATTTTTTCGTTTATATATTGAGCCTGCAGAGATTACCGCCTTAATGTAAAGTCCACAACAGTATGACGTATTTCGTCAGTACCCTCAAAGAAATCATGAGCCATATCTTAGAACGATTTGTAAAGTGTCATGTCTTAATTTATGATGAGATAGTTTCGCTAACCCAATTATGCCAATCAAAGAGTAAAATAGATCTCATTTTGAAACATCTATACAGCATAATGAAAGTGTGCCGAAAATGAAAATTTAAACCGTAATGAAAATTTATCTGTTAGGACCATGGAGTTATTGAATAAAGTATACTTCAGTTATAGCGACAACATAGTGCTACTAACCGTCTTTAGACAGCGATAGGAACTGAAGTGGCTAGAAATATTGGTGCGGGCCGTAACACTTAACCGCACTACTCACTTTTATGGGCCGACGTACGGTCTAAAGTCGCCACGCGTTCTCACACAATGCCAGAGACACTCGACGATTGTCGGCTGGCAGTTGCTCAGGGTTTGCTGGTCGAGCGCGTATATTTAATATTGTCAAGTCATCCTTGTAACTGCGGGACATGTTCCACCTGCTCAAAGTGGAGCTTTTTGTCGGCTGTTAGGATCGTGTTCGCTGATGCGCGCGCTTGAGCATCTCGACATCTTCGCCGATCGTCGAGTTAAAAAATCGCAGCTTCGGTAGCGATTTCCACCGCACTGAAAGGTACTACCATAGACCCTGAGCGTTACGGCTAGGCCGGCGATTTATCCATCTTGGAATTAATTAGCCTCGCGGCCCCGACGACACGCTCTAGCTGCTACCAAGGTATTGACGACGCATGAGTAAAATTTTTTATTCAGACAACACACATTCGTTTTTATATAGCAATAGCAAACTAAAAATATTATACTTAAGGACCTAAATAACGAACACTGATACGAGTTCTAGCAATTTATGTATATACACATACAAGGTGGGGCTAAATGTGGCAGTAAAGTGTTTTCCCGCAATTAATCGAACGTTTATTGAACGGCAAAGAAGCAAAATAAGCACTTCGTCATTCAAAAATCATATTTTCATTAAAGAAAATTAAGTTTCATAAAGGCCATATCAATTTGTATTTCATAACAGCCGTAGGGACTACATAGGTCGTTACATTTTGAGCATAAGTAAAATTGGATGCAGTCGATTCTTATGTTACAAAGGGATTGAAAAAAAGTAAGTCGCGTAAGGGTACAACAAGGGGCATTCTGTTTCCGTACTTACTACACCATTTGCTGTGGGGGGAAATAACGCACTGATTTGGCGACAGTACTTGGGCAGAAATTTCCACTCAGCTAGCCAATGATATGATAAATGGTCGAAAACGTGACGAAAAATAGCTATAATTATAAAGTAGCACGTATTTTCAGAGATACCGGGCTTAATTAGTTGATTTGAACTAAGGAGACGTTCCTTCACGTCCATATGTCGTAACGTTCCCTAGATAGGTGATACTTTTCACGTAATCACGCATCTCCCAAAGAGATGATCCCCATAACCTCTTTCGATTTGTAGCGGTAGATGGTTACAGAATGGTACATGAGTCATTTGAGAGCTCAAGACTCTTTGAAATATATATATATATATATATATATATAAAGTTATGTTTATCCTTCACTTACTTTTTATATATTTTATGGGCTCATTTTACCTGCAGGTATCGGCTATTTAAAACATTTGCTTATTTCTGATAGGATTTAGTGAAATGGAGGACATCTGGAATCAAACAGAGGAGGAACAAAAGTTCTAAAAGAACGATCCGAGTGAAACCCCGGTTGGGCTAATCAATCAGCGACTGTACCAGGTGCCGAATTGTTTTCTGTTTCGCCATGTCAGAGACAACCGGACAACTTTGCTAACTGATACCGCCCACGGAACAGCCACTAGGAGGCATACTGACGACATTTGCTTACGTGTCCCTAACAATATCAACAATCTGCTTCTTTTCCAATACATGACGTAGGTGTAGCCCTCTGGTGTCTGACAAATAATGACAAATGACCAAAACTGCTCTGTGCAGAAGTACAGGATCATGTGTATCATGATACCACTCTGCCGTTTCGAAGAGTCCTGGTTTACGAGACGCCTCAGAACCTGGCGCCAAAACGATCATGATGGTTATCTAAGTCTCTTCGGATTTGATATGCAGGGTTTAGAGCAGAAAGCATTTCTAAGGGTAGACGCAGGCAATGGTTTCTAGTAGACTATTGGTATGCCGGAATTGGGAACGGATGACCGACGGAAACCACGTTAGCAAGCTTTGATTTAACTGAGGCTACTATCGCCCACGGTCCGCAATAATTGACAGTTATTCTTGCTTACGTGCCGTGTGCATACGGTCATGTGCAGAGAATCGATGTGGCCCAATTAGTTACTTAAGCTTTAGATCGCAGCTAGCTATATCGGAGTGAAGCGGCTGTATCAGTAACAATGCCGCCACTGAATCTCGTTACGCTGAATACGCATTCTGAGGGTACTGTCTTCAAACCCCGGTTTCTCTTAGCTCGAAGCCTTTTCCACAGTCGATGCCACCCTCAAGGCAGTTTCCATAGTACCTACATGTACCTTCGCCCCTAAGTTCCGGAATGCCCGAGAGGCTGTCTTCTACCAAGTTTTCTGTTTCTATTTCCAGGATTTTACTAGCACCATCATTATTGATATAACTACTGATGTTACTAGTTCTCCTTGTTGCCAAGCTAAACCGATCAATATGTTGAACTGACAAAGATGCCTCCACATGCAGCCACCATTTGTCTTCTAACTGTTGGCTTTACCAGTGTAGATGCTAAAGGGTCTTGATAGAAGGATCTGCTATGACGGGGAGTTCCCCTTTCAGAGGGTTGCTGCAATGATAACTACTGCTTTTTTCCTAACTCTGACTGTGGCTTAATCAGTTCGAGGGCGCAAGGCAAAGCGAACTTGCTACCACCCCAACTAACTACTACCGAGTCTAGGCTGCATACCTGTCGCACTTGTAAACTCACCGACCGTATCCTTTAACTTTCTACCTCCAATTTAAACCGCTGTTCCTTTTCGTTCTCATTACCTGGCCCTCTGTGTGTGCCACCTTAGCCCAGCAGTAGACTCACCCTAACCTCATGACTCGTCAACACCGTAATATTGGCTCTGTTACGGCATACCGGTACAGCGGCAGCGGTGAAGCCGTATTCGCTAAAGCCGGCCACCGCGGGGTGTAAGATTACGTCAATCTGTCATGGTTCCTCAGCCGGCAACTTACACAGCTTCACTGCAGCCACGCCGCGCGCTTACTCGAACCCTGTGAGAGCGGAGCGCACGGCTGATTGTAACGGAGGTGTGTGATGGGCAACTGAGGACGTGAGACGGGAACCGCAAAGCTGGCAACCTTGAAAAATTTATGGCTGTATTCGGGCGGTTGACGGAAGACTAGTGGATACGGTGCAGATGGCATAATTTTTCTGTTTTAGTTTATAAACAGTGGTACCAGCATAAGCAGCGTTAATAGTCAATTTCGCTTTCAGTGCTCTAAGTAAGG